CTTCAGGGTTACAAGTACAGGTTTGTAGGTAAACTTGTGTCATGAGGGTTTGTTGCACAGATTATTTCATCACCCAGGTTTAAGCCTCATACACATTAGTTATTTTTCTTGATCCTCTCCCTCCTCCCATCCTCTACCCTCCAAAAGGCTCCAGTGTCTGTTGTTCCCCTCTATATGTCCATGTGTTCTCATCTTTTAGATCCTAGTTATAAGCGAGAACATGTGGTATTTGGTTTTCTGCTCTTGCGTTAGCTTGCTAGGGATAATGGCCTCCAGCTCCATTCATGTCCCTGCAAAAGACATGATCTCATTCTTTTTTTATGGTTGCCTAGTATTCCATAGTGTGTATCTACTGTATTTTCTTTATCCAGTCTATGATTGATGGGCATTTATGTTGATTCCATGTCTTTGTTATTGTGAACAGTGCTGCAATGAATGTCTATGTGCATGTGTTTTCATAATAGGATGATTTATATTCCTTTGGGTATATACCCAGTAATGAAATTGCTGGGTCCAACGGTATTTCTGTCTTTAGGCCTTTGAGAAATTGTCTTCCACAATGGCTGGACTATTTTACACTCCCATCAACAGTGTAGAAGTGCTGCATTTTCCCCATAATCTAACTGGAATTTTTTGACTAGGAGAAGCCATCCTGACTGGTGTGAGATGGTATCTCATTGTGGTTTTGATTTGCATTTCTCTAATGATCAGTGATGTTGAGCTTTTTTTTCATATGTTTGTTGGCGGCATGTATGTTTTCTTTTGAAAAGTGTTTGTTCGTGTCCTTTGCCCACTTTTTAATGGGGTTGTTTGTTTTTCACTTGTAAATTTGTTTAAGTTCCAAAAGCAATTGCAACAAAAGCAAAAATTGACAAGTAGGAGCTAATTAAACTAAAGAGCTTCTGCACAGCAAAAGAAGCTATCAACAGAGTAAACAGACAACCTACAGAATGGGAGATTTTTTTTTGCAAATTATGCATCCAACAAAGGTCTAATATCCAGCATCTGTAAGGAACTTAAACTACTTTTTATTACCCTTTGCTGAGAGCTCTGTAAGGATTTAGTCATCTCTTCATTTTAGTGAGGCTATTGCTGAAAGAATGAAGCAATATCAATAATAATGCCTTACATTTATAATAGGACTTTAAAGTTCACCAAGAACTTTCACACAGATTTCCTTTTTGCTCATCTCAGCAACCCTGTGAATTAGGTGTGGCAGGTATTAGCACTTTTATTATGCAGTAAATTTAGAATCAGACAAAATATGTGACCAGCCCAAGAACAGTAGATTTCTAAAAATGTGTTCTAAAGGAGGCAGAGAGAGAATTAAGCATGCACACACCCTACTGACACCAATGAAAGCTTTTTAACAGAAGTCTGTGTGTACCCCACCTTCCCTCCTATTATCTAGAACAGTCCTGCAAGGTTAGTTCCCATGCAGAAACAGATCAATTATTTACTGTAATAGAAAGTGAGATGTCCCCTGTGGGAGGCTGCTGAGAGGGACTGTAAAACTAGGGCCCTGAAATGGAAAGGGCTTTTGAAATCCAAGACTTTGCACTTCAGATAGAGTGGGTGGAAGCTTGTTCATTTGGCTGTCTTCACTTCCCCCTCCCTCACCTTTTCCACCCCTGCGTCTAGTCGATTTTTAAGGCTGTTGGTTTGGCTGCTTTATTTTACATCTATGGTTACCCCAAAACTACCATATAGCCCCATTTCCATCCCTACTGTCTCTTCACACGAGCAGTGGGCTTTGGGGCTGGCCTTCGTGCCCCTTGCTCATGCCATCTTTCACATGCTGTAAGAGCTTAAAAGTCTGTAAGAGATCAGCGTTTTCCATAGGATGCAGTCCATCCTCCTTAGCCTAGAACATAACACTGCAGATCTCGACCTCAGCCTACCATTCCATTTTTACTTTGCTGCCTCACTGGTGGTTTTCCTGCATGGTTAGGGGTCCCTGAGCATTCTTCTCTGCCTTCTTACCAGCCGCTGGCTCTGTTTGAAATGCCTCTCCCCTCAGTATGGGAGCTCCCTTTCCCCGTGCCAAATGAATATTGGTTAAAATTTGGCTGTGTTTTCTCCTCTTTTGAGAGAGCTTTTCTGACCTCCGCTGCCTGTGAAGTTGGCCACATGCATCTTTGTGGCATATAGCATCTTCTCCAGAGCTCCCTTCTGAAGCTTCCAGTAAACCATGAACTTTCTGAGGACAGGGTCTGAGTCTTAACCCCTGTTTGCACAGGGCCAGACCCCCTGTAGGGGAATTACAGTAAACACAGTTTGACTGAATGTTTGGCTTGACATCACAATGACCTCAGCCACCACTCAGGAACATTTGGCCTGACAGTCAGTTTGCTGACTCCCCAAAGATACTGCTAATTAGGAGTGCTATTGAGGTGGTCTGAAATTTACAAAAACATTTCCTCTGTTGAAGGACCATTTCCTGTTGAGCTTAATTAGGAATCTGTAATAATGGAGAGAAACACATTTTTTTCTCTTTTTATTTCTGAAGAAAGTCAGAAGCATAAACTCCAGATGATGGGGTTCAGTTCCCCTTGATCATGAATTTGTGCTTTTGATGAGTGTAGAGTTTTGTCACTTACCTAATACAGGATAGTCAAAAGAGTCTTTTGTATTAAATTGGGAGCACTCTTGTGGGAATGGTCTGTGAACAACCTGTGGATTTGTGCTTCAAGAAATTTGTATAATTCTCTTTGTAGTTGCTAAGATACAAGAAATAACTTTTAGGGCTTGTATGATATACTGCCAAGGAAAACATTTTCCAGGGAGTTGGTTTTTGGTCACACACGTGCTGGCTATTGATTCCTGTATCATACTGTAATTGTGGTAGCCTCTTAGCCTACTTTTAGGGGTTGGAAGGTATCTGTTTTCTAATTTCTATAAGATATTTACTCATCCATATCAGACCTTTTAAATCAGAAATTAAGATTAGTTTGCTATTACCTTGTCTGTAAAAGAGGGGATGGGGTAATCAATAGAATGTGTTTGTATAGAAAAAAGTCATTATGGTTTTGTTTTTCCTACATTCCTTAAAGTATTTACAGCCATATTTCTTGATCATTTCTGCTATTAAACCACGAAAAAGTGGTATTTGAAAACAGATAATCTTTTTAAATACAATTAATCTTAAGGAAAATAATGGAACAAGATTATTATATGATATAGTCAATAATGTGGCTAAAATGGATATTTGAGTTGACTGAATTTTATTTTTGTGGTACTTATTTGTCAAATGAGAATGACCCTAAATATCAACACATCAGTCAAAATAAATTTGTTATGTTGAACTCACACAGTTTTCTGTGAGAAAAATGAAAATAAGGTTTGAATTTTCTGTATTACTTTTTTTATGATAGAATACTGAGAATTAACCTTTATTCTAGATTGTAATCCATTCCTCAAGCATGCAAAATCATTAGCATGTGGCAAAACTGTTGAATTCTTCCAGTCTCCTCATTGAAAATAAAACATTTTTCTTTTCGACTTAGAGATGTCACAACTATAATATTCCTTTATGATTTTCTATCTTGATGTTTAGTAGGAGAGTCAGGATTGTAATCTTGGTTTAGGTGTTTTGTTTTGCTTTATGTTTCCATCATATCACACTGTCTTTCAGGTTTTCATATCATATTCACCCAGGTATTTGGAAACTTGGGGTGACTCTAATTGTCAGCTGGGATCTACTTCCTGGATCACTTTGGCTTTCAAATATACATAGCACAAATACATATTAATTGTGCAAGGTCAGATAAGGCAGTGAAAGTCACTAATCTCATTCTATTTGCTTTTCAAGATGAGGTCCCCCATTGTAATTAATACATGTGTTATAATATCACAATTACACAATGTTTGATTTCTTCATACATTGGCTATAGTGGTCTTTAAAAAACTTAAAATAATGAAAAAGGGGATATTTTAACTTAGTCTAAATAATTATTTGAAAAGGATGTTATAGAGTGAATGGAGAGTTGGCCAGAGGATGGACTACGTGATCTTTAAATGTTCTGAATAATCAGGGATTACAAGATTCCAAAAATGGGTTATAAGGGAAATCTAAGAAATGCTGGTAGCCTTAGTTACAATGTTTTTGTTTGTTGGTTTGTCACAGACTGCCTTTTCAAGGTGTGCCCTATGAACCGATATTCTGCCCAGAAGCAGTATTGGAAAGCCAAGCAAGCTAAACAAGGGAACCACACTGAGGCCGCCTTGCTGAAGAAACTGCAGGTAAGGATCAGGCTTCCAATTGTCTGGCTTAGGCTAACCAAGAACAGCAATAACAAAAGACATATTTTGAGTTTCCTAGCTTTGTGATTTTACCCAATACACAGAGATTTAGAATACATACAGCAACACATTGAAAGTAGAGGAGCTTTTAAAGTAGTAGGGTGTGACCATTTGTTTCCTGGCATGTAGGTAGCACATTGCTACTGCTGTTTTTTAGGGTGTGCCAGACTAATTCGAAGCTTCCCATCAAAATGAAAACCAATTCAGAATCTCTGTTAGAATGTTAAATCCAGTTATATTTTACTTGACATAATCCTTGATATTTTTCCTGAAAGACTATGGAGAAAGATAATTGAAAGACCATTGTTTATGGTTACCTGAGTGTAAATTCCATAGAACTTAATTTTGCCTCATTAAAATTCCTGGTACTTTGAATTAAGAACTGTACTTTGAGACTTTGGAAATTCTCCTATTATCCTGGTTGTTTTTTCTACCTTCTTAAATTAATTTTATAAGAACAAAGAGCCTAGTACTTTTCTGAAGTGTCCAACATAAAAGTGGCCCAAGACATGTTGGAGGGAATTTCAACGTACATTGAGAAGTCATCACAGTGTATTGTAACCATTTATTTAATCACTGCTCCCTTTCTCCCCTCTTCGCAAGAATCCAGAAGAGAGCAACAAACCTATTTTATTCCCGGTTATAGTCTTGTTCCTAAGAAAATTATTTGTCAGTTATTATTCTCTGTTTACTGTATTTCCACACTGAATATTTGATAATCATCTTATAGCACGCTGCAGAACTGGAACAAAAACAAAATGAATCAGAGAATAAGAAACTGTTGGGAGAAATTGTGAAATATAGTAATGTTATACAAGTAAGTATTTTCTCTTAAAAGAGGTGAGTATTTTATGAGGAGTTTGTCAATAAGTTGGCAGGAAAGCCAAACTGCATTAAAATTTTGAGAAACAATAGTTTTTCCTTTGATGGGAATTATAGATGATATGATATATTGTGATGTATTCAGTTGATATTCGATGCACTATTCTGTATGTTTAAGAATAAATCTGACATACGCACATAAAGAAGTGATCTTATTGGATGTATGCACAAGTTATTACATCGAAAAGAAGAGGGTCAGGAAACAATTCCTAAAGGCCTGTGAATAGTTCTTCAGATTAATGAGACCAGTGTTTAACACATGGAACTTTAGCTTTTCATTTTGTGAAGAGAGAAGTTTTCACTTTCAGTTGGAAGTCATCCTTGAATTGTTATTAGAAGGTCTTCTATTTCAATTAGTATGCACACTCTTATCTCAGCTGCATTCCTTTCCTGTGTTTCGTTTAGATCATTTTAGCTTCTTACTTGGTTATTTGTTAATATATGCCCCACCTTTTTGAAAAAAGAATGTAAGGCACTCTTCAAAATACAGAGCACATAGTGAGATAAAATAGAAATAAATAAAGCAATTGGGTCACAGGGAAAATCATGGTATGATTAATAAACTGAAATCAGGGGTGAGGCATGTTTATAAAAACCATGTTGTAAAGTCTGGTAAATTTTGGCTTGAAGGCTTTTTCTTCCTATGGCACACTTCGCCATAGGAAAGCATAGTTTGTTACAGCATTGACTAGGAGGTCCACAGCATAGAGCCAAATCAGAGGTCTAGAAGCACAGCTGTTCCCAGGAATAAGACCAGGGAAGTGTTTTTCCTATGTGTGCTCATAAAGAGGACACTGTGTGATATAGTAAACAATAGCCTTGACAACTTCCTTACAATAAATGCTACAATGAGGCATTTCATAGAGCTGTTTTTAAAAATAATATCCCTGATATTTTGTTATTGGCCAATGGCAAAATGCCAGAGCACAGGGCAGTCAAAGCAGTGCACTGTTAGGAGAAGATGTGAGAAGCTGGGACGGCTGCTCCCTGAATGTATGACTTAATCGAATGATGGATAGTGTGAAACCTGCAGCCTGAGTGGGCTGCATGTCTCTGGGGCAATCCTTCATAAATAGAGTTTCTCTTAACCAAGTTTTGATTAAATGTCAGTAAGTGGAGCTTTTGTTCCTTGTCAAGTACCTGAAGCACAGATGTTAGCCTGGTCAGTGAGGGGCTGTGCCATGTTCTTTAACATGGTGGATCCCAAAGGTCAGCCCATGAGGGTTTCCCTTGGTTTACAGTAACATAAGGAGCCAAGAGTATGATAATGAGCATTTCAAAATGCCGATTTTCTTTTTGCAATTAAAGAATGTTCCTTTTCTTTGAGATAATTTCTTTATTATATTGTGAGTACTAAAATGAAATGATTGTAATCATAGATGGAAAGTTTATTTTGTTTTGGTTTTGATACTCAGTAGAATCCTGTTTTGGTAAGATTTTGTTCACAAATTCCAAAAAAAACTCTGAGAAGTGATGCTTTTACACTCATCTGGGAGGAAGTAGGGTCAGCATCCCCTGGCAGAAGGTGTAGAGCCTATTTGGGATGAGCAGCTGCCTCCTTACAGAGGAAAAATCAGGGCTGACTGTGGGTAGGGCTGGTTAATAATACTAAGTGGGTCAGTGCATTATTTGAGTTTTTTGACCTTTCTTTAGTATATTCTGTTTTTGTGGCTGTGTAGGCATTGAGAAAGCATATGGTTGGAGAAACTCAAGGTCTTCTTTGGAAAACCTAGTTTCAGTCTATTATTTATCAGTAGATGAAAACCATTCAGAAGGGTCCCCTGGTTTTTTTTTTTCCCTACTATGCTCACTTCATTATGAAGCAGAATTGGGGGCGGAAGGGAGAAAGAAAACAAAAAACATCAAGTAGGAAAGATGGTGAGTGTGGAGGCTGAAAATACTCCTTTGCTTAATTTTCACCTCAAGCTATGTTAGATGAATATATGCTATACGTATAAAACACATGAGTATAATTAACAGAGGAGATCAAAGAATAAAGGTGCTATTCTATGTCTTTTCCCTACAGCTACTGCATATAAAAAGCAACAAATATCTTACTGTCAACAAGAGACTACCTGCTTTACTGGAGAAGAATGCCATGCGTGTGTCCTTGGATGCTGCAGGAAATGAAGGGTCTTGGTTTTATATTCATCCCTTCTGGAAACTGAGAAGCGAGGGTGACAATGTATGTAATATACAATTAAGAGGGAAATAATGGGTTCATAAAGAAAATAATTCCTAATAAGTAAGAGAATCTAGAAGGTACAAAAAAGAAAATATAGTTTTTACTCAATGCCTTATTTTTATGTTAGTATATACTAGGTTAAACATATTTATTTATAGTACAAATTGTGCTCAGAAATCATAAGACAAAGTTCAGATTAATTTAAAATCTTCCAGCTTGAGTTTGTATTAAAGAACTTAAGCAACCATAGTTTTGGCTGAGACTTTTAAAAGAGAAGGAGAATTTACTTTTTTGCCTAATCAAGAGGGAGCTTGGTCATAAGGAAAAAAAGCTGTTTAGGAAATAGTATGTGCCCTTTGAATTAATAGAGTGACACCAGAAATCGTGACAGTATTCCATTTACTGGCTCTATGGCCAGCTGGTGAGTCTATAAGTCTTAATACAGGTGGAGTAGAGGAGCTGAAAATTGGCATCTGCTCATTGATGACAGCTATATTTATAATATGTTCTAGACTACTTGGGGCACTGAGAAAGGAGAATCACTTGAGCCCGCCAGTTCAAGACCAGCCCAGGCAACATAGTGACGCCTTGTCTCTAAAAAAAAATATTTTTTAATGTTGTGGAATATGTGTGTATTACATGTAAATTTTAGTAGTTGCTAAAATATTTTCTGCTACTTTATAAAATAGAGAAGAAATTATGAGAAATATTCAATAGGATCAAGAGGGTCATATTTTTGTGTATAATACATAAAATATAGGGTGATATTCCTTAGCACATGGAAGATGGTCAGTAAATGCTGCTATACACTGAACACTGAATAAGTTTCATAAATACTGGCAAATACTAAGATTTAAAAAAATATTCTGAATTCAAAGCAATATAAAAGTATAATTATTCTGATAGAGGTTTTTCAGTCAAAACTCTGATTATATTTTAAATGTGTTTTGGTTATTTCTTGTCTTTGGAATGTCTTTATAGTGAATCTAATTTTTCCAGTGAATTTTGAAGTACAAATTCAATTCCACAGGATGCAAGCTTTTGGATTTAATTTGGTTAATAAATTATCTGGCGATATCTTCCTTTGGTAAGGTTTGGTAGAAGCATGGCATGCAGGAATGTGATGCACTTTAAGCCTTGTATTGGTTGGATTATCTTTAAAAAAATCCCTACTTTTTATATTTTTTCCTTTTGACATGGGGTGATGTGTGCTGTGAGCATGATACACATTTTAATTTCATTAAATAGTTAATTATAATCAACTCTCAATTATTCAGACTGATGAAGCAGCGTGTGAACAACCTGTGCCTTTGAGGCCCTTTCTTGCAATGCTTGTTCCCATCCCCAACCCTCCACTGAAGAGTTTTCCTGTCTACAGGAGGTCCATGAAAATTAAACATGAAAACAAACAAAATCTGAGCTTCAGCTCGGAAGGAATGTAATGAAATGATTGAATAAGTTGGGGTTTTTAGATTCCCTGTGGATTATATTAATTCATCCTGCCTGCTTATGTATTCATTTTATCTATTCTTTTACCTGCTGCTTTTACACAGTCAACAGAGAGTTGAATGTAATGAACTATTTCAAATAATTAGTTGTCCTGGAAAAACAAAAGAAAACAAAACCGACCACCCAAACACTCAACTTTAGTGAAAATGGACAATGTAATAAGTGCAATTCAGGAGTTCTCCTTATCTGGATGTGCTTCAGAAAGCATGGCTGAAACAACCTTCCACACTGCTTTTTGCTGAAGCAGCTCACTGTTTTTGTTTGCCACTGTGTAGCTTTTATGTGTAATTAAGGTTGCTGAAAGCATAATCACACCCACAGCTCTATATTGGTCACATAAATAATCATGTTGCAATACTCATTTCCTTCCCTAAAGTACGTAGCATCTTTCTAACATAGAAACCTACTGTGTGGAAGGCAATTGGAAATACAGTCACTTCATAACCAGTGGTTCAACTACTACTGATTTTCTTTAAAAACATATTAAATCAGAAAGAGGAAATTACAATATTTAGAGGAATTTTTAAATTATATTTTACTATTTAGCAATAGATTCAGTTTTAAGTATACTACAGGATGTTCTGTGACCCAAATGAAATGCAGTAGTTAGGCTGATGATAGTCTGGAGAAAGGAAACCCTATCTTCAAAAGGTAATAGTTCCTACTACTGAAGAACAACTTTATGATATATCTAATAGAATTGTGGGATGGATAGTTTTGGGGGGAAAATAGACACATGGATCCCTCTACTTCAGCTGTATACAAAGCCCTTGGTTGCAGTTAAACTGCAAAGTCACTAGGGACCAGCCATGAGCAGAGAACATAAATATTTAATTTTTATTCATTTATTTGTTAATTTTTGTGTATTTCCCCATGGTTGAGTAGCTAATTTTTCATTTTCAATTTTGATCTAAGAAGACTTGGGTTCTTTACCTTTATGGTAGATTTTCAAAGGGAAAAAAAGTTCAGATATTCTTTAAATGAAGAAAAAAATTTAACTCTTGTAAAAAGAAACTTCAAATAGCAAGTAGACTTTGCCATTTTGGAAAAAAGCGTATGTCTTAAATTTCTAGCTGAGGTGGAACTAGAACCCTGGTGTTTTGATTTCTATTGTGATATTCTTTTCATCATACCAGCTGCCACTTCAAAAGAAGGATAGCTGCTAGTGGCGGTACATCCCTCTTATTTTCAGCAAAATCTCAGTTTGAATCTTACATGCCTCTTACATAGAATCAGCAGAAGTGCTTTTTGGATTGCAATTAGAAAAACAAAAGATGTTTGTATACTAAAGTGAATGTGATGGCTGATCCCAGGATGTGTAGAAAATGACTTCACCCTGAAGTTTTATATTAAATTTGTAGCTTCCCAGAAAGTATTTGACCCATCTGTGAATCGGGTCCTGAGCTTCACTATTGTGAAAATATTACCAAGTTTCATATTTGCTAAGTTACCTAATTAGGTATGAATTCCTTGAGAATAGGGATTATTTCTCAGACCTTCTTGTTTTCTTCCTGGCACTTCTTAATATTCTTTTTATTTCACATGATTGGTATTTTGTCTGTTTCACTTGGAAGTTTTATTCAGCCTGGTTAGGCAAGGTAATCATTGTCAAGAATAAGACTGAGGACCTGAAAATTAGTGAATGAATATTAGGTTCTACTTATGAGTACCATTCTTAAAAATCATTGGAAGCTGTTTCACAGATATCAAGAAACATTTTGGCTATATTCTAGATCTCTTAAAAATATGTACAGTTTTAGGCTGGTCATGGTCACTCATACCTGTAATCCCAGCATTTTGGGACGCCGAGGCAGGCGGACCACCTGAGATCAGAAATTCAAGACCAGCCTGGCCAACATACTGAAACCCCGTCTCTACTAAAAATACAAAAATTAGCTGGGAGTGATGGTGCATCCCTGTAGTCCTGGGTACTTAGGAGGCTGAGGCAGGAGAATCACTTGAACCCAGGAAGTGGAGGTTACAGTGAGCTGAGATTGTGCCACTACACTCCAACTTAGGTGAAAGAGCGAGACTCCATCTCAAAAAAAAAATTTACACACACACACACACATTTGTATATATTATGCATATTTAAATATATATACACACATACCATTTTATGGGTTGTGTTTTGAAATAAATATATGGATTGACCCAAAGCTCACAGACAACTATAATAAAATAGCAAGACTTAGAGCAGTGAACATAGGTGCAACCAAAAGTATTCTCGAATTGGAAGACCATAGTTAAAATATATCATTATATTTAGTAACTTATTGGCTAGTATTTATATGGCACAGATGAGAACAAAATATTAAACCAAATCCAATTGTTCTTTAAGAAATTGGAAGTTGAGAACACATAGACACAGAGAGGGAACAACACACCCCAGGGCCTGTTGGGGAGAGGGGGGTGATAGGTGATGGGGAGGGAACTTAGAAGATGGGTCAATAGGTGCAGCAAACCACCATGACACATGTATACCTACATGTTCTGCAAACCTAAATGTTCTACACATGTATCCTGTTTTGCTTTTTTTTTTTAGAAGAAAAAACAACAACAAAAAACTAATTGAAAGACCAGATGCAGCACTGGCAAAATGTGGTATCAATCTCCCAGTACTTTAGTGTATGGCTGATGACTGAGGCCTCTATGTGGCTCTGTGACTTGGAGCTGCCTTGGTGTCATGTGCAACAGCACGTGTTTCCCTGGAGAGAAAAGGGGTTGGAAATATACTTACATCATATTGACTTTGATTTGTTTTTGCTCATAATTTAATTTTTAAAAGGGATACCAATTCATGGTTTAAAGATAGAAAGCGATGTAAAGATATATTGTGAAAAATCTCTTTTCTCCTTTTTTTTTTTTTTCCATCTGCCCAATTCCTACTCTCTTCTTCCACAGGTACCCACTGTAGAGATTTCTTTATGCAGATAATCCTATTCTGTCCCTCACATTTTTACACAAATGATAGCATACTACATGCCTTGCTCTGCCTATTCATCTTTTCACTTAATACTGCTCCTCAGTGATCTTTCCTTAACTGTATAGAGAGCTTCTATGATGAATCTCTGTGAATTACAGCATCTGACTTCTAATGGACTTGAAAGGTACAGTGGTGAGTGGAGACCAGTCCTGTAAACAGTAGAAGCTATTTCCACAAACCAAAGTACAACCTTTCTTTGTTTGATTGGTGAGCTTGAGGCTTCTCTATTATATTTCAATTGCCAGATACAGTTTGTGACAAGAGTACCATATATGAATGTAGATTCCTCCATATCATCCATATGAGGTTATCTGAAATTGAAACTATGAAATTATGTTTTTTTTTAAAGTTTGGGTTTTGATGAAGATATACTACAGGGAGAAGTTGTGTTTATTCATATTGACTGAATCTTGATTTGTTTTTTGTTTATCTATCAAACTAATTTATTTTAATATTTACTTGGTATGAAATATACAAAGGAAGTGTTTTGGTTTTCATTTTTGAGATAGTGATCCATTCTATATCCGAGAGCTTATTTACTATAATAATATATCTTCTAAATAAATTTAGCAACATAAGTAACTTTAATAATAAAAATTAAATTGTTCATTATTATCATGAAGGAAGGTTAAATTCAATTCTATACAATTTGAGTTAAGAATAAAAACACTTAAAGCAGATATTGCTACAATAGCATAAATAAAAAAAAATCAATTAGACTTACTTCTTTAGAGCACTTTTCCCATAATCAATTTTAGTTTTTGTTTAAAAATGAATGCCAAGTTTAAGGAGCAATATGAGTTTAATATATTTAAGATATGAGTGAATCAGATGCCCAAAGCTCAAACGAAAAACATATTTCTACAGGGTCATACCTAATCCTACATTTCCTGAATCGAGCTGACATTAGAATTTTTATTACATTTCTGAGGCTATGGGAAGATCAAATCTACTCATCTCTCATTGCAAAGATAATACAAGTATGCAACATGTTCTGGTTGCCCTTGCAGTGGTTCTAATATTTAGATAGATTACTTTTTTTTTTTGGTGGCAGGTGCATTTACTCTATCTGCTGTGCTTGTGGCATAAGACTTCATGGGGAGGGATAATGGCCTATTTATTGACTTTAAGAAAGCTCTAACTGAAATGGGAGATGAATATGAAAAAGATCCACACTACCCTTATGAATCCAGACTGATAGACCCTATGGGACATACTTACATGATCATTTATTAGAAGATATTTTACCTCAAAGAGAAAAAGAATTGAACAAAAATTTGTGTGAAGGATAAAAGGACCAGATGTCAGATCAATAATGCGGACTCCTGTGCAGTTATTTCTAGCTTCAAATATAGCAGCAAAGATCCATGCAGTGTCTCCATTGTGATTTATTTCTGCTTCCTAGATTGTTGTAGGAGATAAAGTTGTTTTGATGCCTGTGAATGCAGGGCAGCCACTGCATGCCAGCAACATAGAGCTTCTTGATAACCCAGGGTGTAAAGAGGTAAGTTCAAGTGGGAAAGGAATGAATGTGTTGATTTTTCATATAAGAGAGAGGGAGAAAAAAAGTAATATAGTTTCTTTTATTGTTTTCATGAGCATAATCCTGGTTATTCTAATTAATATCCCCAAGGTACATATAGCTGGGATTAGCTATTGCTATTTTTGGATGGTCTCTCAAAGATACTTGTATTGAGCTACATACTTCATTACCCAAAGTTGTCCTTAATTTCCTTTTACTAGTTGAAATAATAATTTCTGGTAGAGAATGAAATCTGCAGTCTTATAACCTTGAACATTTCTTCATTAACAGGTGAATGCTGTTAATTGCAACACTAGCTGGAAAATCACTTTATTCATGAAATATAGTTCCTATCGAGAGGACGTATTAAAAGGAGTAAGTATGTGCTACATAGGACATTTGCTGGCAGAAATGAAAGTAGTCTTAACTGAAATTCTAGATGCAAAACCTATGTATTTACTAGTGTTCATAAGTTAGAATGTGAGTACACATCTTAATATTCTGAGTGTTTTACTGAATTTCCCCCATCAATGTTTTAAAATGTTTAAATAAGCATTAAAAGTCAGGTAACTAGCATAAGGGCCCAGAGTATCAAAACCAGAAACAGACACCTGCTTATCCCGATTATTTTTTCAGTTATCTCTTGACCTTTTTTCTAGGGTGATGTTGTTAGATTGTTTCATGCGGAGCAAGAGAAGTTTTTGACTTGTGATGAATATGAGAAAAAGCAGCACATTTTCCTTCGTACAACCTTGCGCCAATCAGCTACTTCTGCTACTAGTTCTAAAGCACTCTGGGAAATAGAGGTATATTAATATTTTTTGACATGTAATAAATATTTAGATCAAAAAGACAAGATTTATTGGGCTGGTTGTTTTATTGTTATAGGCATCATTTATGATAGAATCATAAAACAATAATTTTTGTGAACCAACTTGTACCTATTCATTGCTGTGACCAATTTGAAATAGGCTATTTCCTTAGCATGTCTCCTCTTTGGGATCTCTAATTTTTTTTCTCTCTTTTTTTTTCTCTCTTGCCCTCTCTCTCTCAAATACACACACATAAACACATTTTAAAAGGGTACATTATGATCTTACTTTTAACAAATCAACTGTGAAATGTCAAGACTAGTTAGACTGAAGGCCATGTTCCTCAAATGGCATTGGAGTCAAGATGGAGTAGGATGCCTCATTTTGAGGAAAGGTGGATGCCAGAACGACTCAGCACCTGGGGAGAACAATGTTTTTTCTTCTGTGGATGCCACCATTTCTGTTGGAATCAGGAGACCCATGGTTAAGAATTCATTCATCTTTTTAAAAGTGTCTCTTAAATGTGGAACATGGTAGAGTAATTAAGAAAATGTAACCTATGGATTTTTCCTTAAAGGATCTTTTTATATGTGAAGGAGGTAAGATCTACAGAATTGCCCATGAACAAGAGGTTTACTGGACATCTGAGCCACTAACTATGGTTCTCAACCATTTCAAATCCTTCATCTGCTCCCCAATTTTAAAAATATATATTTTGTGACACTCCCTTTAATATTCTAAAATGAAATTTATAGGTAATATTATTTATATATTCTAATAGGTAGAATTAGTATAATGGTCAAATTCTAACATAAAGAAGAAATAAAAGGAAAATATAATTGTGTTTCAACATGAGAATAACTATCTAAAAGATATTTATGTGTATCTTGGACGGTTATGTTTGGATTTGAGAGACGCGGTTAAAGAGGATCAGAAGACAGTCCATAGAAGTACAGGAAAATGAAAAAGCAAAGGTAAATGTGGGCCCTTGAATGATAACAAGTGTTAGGAGACATAATAATGGAACAAACTGAAAAACAGAGAAATAACCATAATCAAAGTAAGGATAATACTTTAGGCAAACTACCAACTATTGAGATGCAGAAAATGAGGAAGTATGATGCTTCTGCAAATGAGCCAAGCCTTATTTATAAATATGACCCTAAAACAGAACTCTCTAAGTTTATGATGTGGTTTAGAATCAAGATGAAATAGTGCAAAATAACTTATCTTCTATCTTGAAACTCCGCAACGTATTGAGGAATAATTTCAGTTGCTAGCATGCAGATGGACTTTGGAGACCATAACCATCAACACGTGATGGAATTGAGAAGATCTGGGGAAAACAACCATGACTAAAGCTAGTAATACACGAGGCTGCATGAAACCCCTCCCAGAAGTCTACTTCATTTATAAGAGTAAAACTGAAAAATAACAGGCAATCCTAAAATAAATACATAATAAAAGCATGTGTTTTCATACCATAAAGTTCTTAATATTCTGTTCTTTTAAAAACTTAAAAAAATATAGAGGTAGCAATAAGATGAGGTTTTTTTTTTTTTTTTTTTTTTTTTTTTTTTTTGAGATGGAGTCTCACTTTGTCATCCAGGCGGAGTGCAGTGGCGCATTCTTGGCTCACTGCAACCTCCGACTCCCTGGTTAAGTGATTCTCCTGCCTCAGTCACCCGAGTAGCTGGGATTACAGGCACACGCCACCACACCTAGCTAATTTTTTTGTATTTTTAGTAGAGACGAGGTTTCACCATGTTGGCCAGGATGGTCTCAATCTCCTGACCTTGTGATCCACCTGCCTCGGCCTCCCAAAGTGCTGGGATTACAAGTGTGAGCCACCATGCCCGGCTGAAGATGAGCTATTAGTTAAAACTCTGTTAATGAAATATAGTGAGTTACCTGCATTTGATGTGTCTCTGCTTATTTAATATTGGTTCTAAGTCTGTTAAAAGGAGTTCTGAAAATCTCTCATATTTTTGCTTTAGTTTTGTAGCTTTTGCTATAACTGTGCCACTACACTGAACCCTTTCTATCAAAATGCATAGTTGGAAATGCTGTAACACACTGAACAGTCAGAATAGGGAGCAAATTAATTGTTTAATAATTTTGAGATGTCTTCACTCCATTTAAATGTCTCTCACCATAATGAATTTCATATAACTTGATGTAAAACGTTTTTATCTGATGATGTACTAAAGTGTTGCCCGTTTATATTGGCGGTAGACTTATTTCTCTAGGAGATTTGAAAGATGCAAGCTGCAGGACATTTCTATATTGTGTGCTGTTACAGTTGGGCTTTAGTAAGGAAGCCTGAGGACTGTGCTTGCCCAGCATGAGCATCAGGTGTTTGAAGCAAGAAGGAAATTACATTCACATTATTGGAAGGGCTGGAGGAGGAAACTTGGAGTAGGGGGCATGGGCTTATCTGAATGCAAATAAGCAAGGCGATGACTGCTTCGCCACTGAACCTGCAGGCCTCTGCTCACATGCTGAGGGGTCCTTACTCACGCACCCTGTAGCAGCAGGCACTAGTCAGCTGCTACGACTGCTGCTGCAGCCAAAAGAGGAGACTCTATTCTACTGTCCCCTGCTTCCCATTCTAATGGGAGTGTCCTCAGAGCCCTGCTGGGTGAGGCTTTCAGCCCCTGTAATGCATGGGAGCATTTAGCAGGGTGGGGCTGGTCCTGAGGGCCACACACAGTGTTGAGCACATGCTGGAATTCCCTGTAAATTGCAGCATAGATCATATCTTGGTCACTGCATGTTAAATGCCTATAGCATCCCTCCAAAATCATGGTAAACAAAAACACCCTCCCTTCCAAATCTGCAGAATATCTCTGCTGGGGAGCCCTACTGCCTTTGCTAGACCCACTGATGTATAGGAGAGTAGTTCTTAGTCTGGGATCTTCAGATTATTTTTTAACCTTAGCAATTATATACAAACCACAAAATGGGTGTGTGTGTGTGTGTGTGTGTGTGTGTGTGTGTGTATGTGTGTGTATGTACTGTGAGACAAACATTAGATTTTATCAGATTCTCAAATACATCTCTGCCTCCTGAAAGGATTAAGAGTTCAAACACTGACAATATCGTAGTAGCCAGTGTGATTAGCAAAGGATTTGTGGAAGAAGTTTGATTTGAGATTTTGAAAGATAGGTGGGCTTTTGGCCACAGAGGGAATGTTTTATAAGACCTCATGCACTTTGAAGTATTTTCATAATTATTATCTTATCTGAGTTATGAGAGTATGGGAAGACATTTGCTGGAGTCTAGCAGAAGGCATTCGAAAGTGAAGTATGTTAACACACAGAGTTCGCGGTTGCAGCAGGAGCGAAAGGGTGGTCAGTACTAGCAAAAAGAACATAATGTGCTGAGGGAGAGTCATGAAAAGTGATCCTAGCACTTGGATATGCCTTATAATATTTAATCTTCACAACAATCCTGTGAATTATCCCATTTTGTGCACGAAGAAATAAGGCTCAAAGATATTAAATTCCTTTCTGTGGTCATACCACAGTAATTGATGGACCTGGAACTCACATGCCTCAGTCTGAGTATAAAACCTGAGCTTTTCTGTAGCCCCATCCTACCTGTCATAACCAGGTGTGTCAGAACTTCTACTGTGCTTATTCCCAGTGAGCCTAGGGGCTCAGCATCTGGGCAAGGCCAATTCAAAGACAGGTATCAAAAGACATGGTGTTGGGCAGGGCAAGGTGGCTTACACCTGTAATCCCAGCACTTTGGGAGGCCCAAGGTGGGTGGATCACCTGAGATCAGGGGTTTGAGACGAGCCTGGCCAACATGGCAAAACCCCATCTCTACTAAAAATACAAAAGAATTAGCCTGGTGTGGTGGCATGCACCTGTAATTCCAGCTACTCGGGAGGCTGAGGCAAGAGAATCGCTTGAACCCAGGAGGCAGAGGTTGCAGTGAGCCAAGATCACACCACTGCACTCCAGAAGCCTGGCAACAGAGCGAGACTCTGTCTCAAAAAAAAAAAAAAAAATGCTGTCATAAAAACCACCGTGCTTTAAAACTTAAAAAAAAAAAAAAAAAAAAAAATGCTGTCAATAAAAAGCATGCATGGAAAGGGCCCAGAATTAAGTAGTTTAGACCCCAGGCCTGAACATTTGTGGTTCTCTCTTCCAATCTGCATGGCTGTCTTTCTCATCCTCCAGGTTTCAGGTCACACGACCCAAGAGGCCCGTGCTGATGATGGTCGTATCTAAAGTTGCCTTCCCTAGTTCCTCAATCATGCACTCCCTTTGTGTCATTCCTGGTACTTGTCATGTCTTATTTATGTCTTTGTTTGCTAGCTTTCTCTTTTCCATTAGAATGGAAGCTCTGGCTTTATCCACTGCTGTGTTTCTCTTCTTTTGAAGAATACTTGGCATATAGTGGGCTCTTAGTGCAATATGTCAAGTAAATGTTTGAAACACAAAGGGAGGAAAATCTCTGTATTTCCACTTTGGCCTTGGAAACATGTCTTTCTGAGTAAAGCCGTATCTGCAGATGTAAGGCACAAGTGTCATGCATGCACGAGTCAACAACTGTTATAACATGTCTCTTGCTCATTTATGAGGAATTTTGTTTTTCTGCCACATTATACTCACATGGAAACATATATTAGGTTTGACAGGTCAGCATTAACAGGAGGGCAAGCATGTAAACTGTTGGCATTTGCTTGCCAGGACCATAAATATGGTTTTGCCATTACTATTGTTGCTCTCTTTGTAGGTGGTTCATCATGACCCATGCCGTGGGGGTGCAGGACAGTGGAACAGCTTGTTCAGATTTAAACATCTTGCAACTGGAAACTATTTAGCTGCAGAGGTAAGACTAATGTATAGAGTGCTATTAAGTTTCTGACTCTGAGTTAGTGAAAGAGGCAATTGGGTTCTTCACAAGACATTGTATTTGCAGGAACAGTCATTATACAAATTTAATTATTGCTTCTAGTATTCTGGATTGACACATAAATTATTTTAAAAATGTAAATGTTGGTCAAAGTATTAAAAATTAAGACAACAACAATAATAACAACAACAAAACTCTGCAGTTGGTTTATTGTAAGGTCAATGGAATGGGACATCTGATTTGCATATGTATGTGATGTAGCCTAAAATTTTCTATTTAGCTTTAGCCTTTCAGAATGTCTGCATCATAGATATGATCAGTTCATTGCTCATATCTGATAGCCTAGATAGCTCTGGGTTTATCTGCAGTGGCCTCTTTCACTGTGGGTGGCTTTTATTGTTCAAATCATTGGGAAGGGAAAGGTTTTCTTCCTAAAACTGTCAATAAAAGTGGTAAAAACATAGAAAAGCCTTTTCTCTGTCCACTAAAAGTATGTTGACAGACAGATACGAAGGATATCAGAAGATATGAAGTACAGGTAGAAATAACATCATGGAAGTTTTATAAATGATTTAATTAAAGTTTGGTTATCTAATTTTTTTTTTTTTTTTTTTTAAGATTGGGTTTCACCATTATGGCCAGGCTGGTCTTGAACTCCTGACCTCAGGTGATCCACCCACCTCGGACTCCCAAAGTGCTAGGTTATCTAATTTAAAAATAATTTGGGGCCGGGCATGGTGGCTCATGCCTGTAATCCCAGCACTTTGGGAGGCTGAGGCAGGCAGATTGTCTGAGCTCAGGAGTTCGCGACCAGCCTGGGCAACACGGTGAAACCCCGTATCTACTAAAATGTACATACCCACAAAATTAGCTGGGCATAGTCGCACACATCTGTAGTTCTAGCTACTCAGGAGGCTGAGGCAGGAGAATTACTTGAACCCTGGAGGTGGAGGTTGCAGTGAGCCAAGATCATGCCACTGCACTCCAGCCTGGGCAACAGAGCAAGACTCTATCCCAAAAAATAAAATAAAAAAAATAATTTTGAAGCTATTCTTTTCCAGATATATGAAAATTTTCATTCATGAAACTGTGCTGGGCATTTATAAAGCATTTGATGACTACTTTTTGAATGAATAGAGGATGGGAAGAAGGAGATTTCAGGATTTCTATGTGAGAGGCATTTGGAGACATATTAGGCAAATTAATCATACTACATTCTGATTTCTTCTTCTGGAAGTTGGGGACAATCAAATATATTTCTAATTCTCTTAACTTATAATTATATGAGGCAAAGTGCTTGCAGAAGTTGTGGCTGATGGTAAGCACAGGGTAAGTGATACTGGCATAACTTTTTTTCTTTTTTTTTTTTTTTTTTTGAGGCAGCCTTGCTCTGTTGTCCAGGGTGGAGTGCTGTGGTGCACTCAACCTGTGCCTCCCAAGTTCAAGCAATCCTCTTGTCTCAGGCTTCTGAGTAATGGGGACTACAGGTTCATGCCACCATGCCCGGCTATGTTTTATATTTTTAGTAGAGAAGGGTTTTACCAGGTTGGCCAGGCTAGTCTCAGACTCCTGGACTCAAGTGCCTGCCTCAGCCTCCTGAAGTCCTGGGATTATAAGCATAAGCCATAATTATAGAAATTTCTAATTATAGAAATTAACAAGGAAAACTAGTAATATACACGTAATACATATTACATGTAATACATATTACTATATATACACATAATACTTACTATGTGCCCATCCTAATTTTATATGATAAACAGGGATTATTTTTACTTTTTTAGGTATCTAACACATTATTTAGTACTCAATTAAATGAAATACAGCTTTGCAATTTACAGGCTGTTTACAGCATAAGTGTTTTAAAGTAAGCCTTTTGAAAAACAACTCATTGAAACAAAAATCATTAGTAAAGTAGTGAATCTTGTTTAAAATAAAAATTGGAAAAACCTAAGTAGACATCCTATAAAAGACAAGAAATTAGGATTAAAATCCTCTGGGATCTTATGTTAGTGGCTCTTTTCCCCAATTCACTTTTCAAGCAAGTCTACTGATGTGCTGTAGAAAACTGACATGATGTGTGTGTGTATTACTAGTCTTCCTTGTTAATTTCTGTAATTAAAACCTGTATCATTTGATGCATTCAAATGATTAGATTATTAAGAATTAAATTGTTCATGAAACTTAGTGAAGATCCAAGACTTCAATACATAAATGAATTAATTAAAAATGGAAAAGTAGAAAGCAATTCATTCTTTGAAAAGGATTTGAATGATTGTCTTTCATCCTGTCTCTAGAGAATGTAGCTTTAAATGCCAGGTGCCATCTCCTCCATTAAAGAGTCTGGTGTATTTAGAGGACCTTTTCTTTGACCTTTAATTTTAGATAACATCTTTTTTATGGTCTGGTGGGAGGAGGAGAATTAAGTATTAAATACATATCTGAAAATTGAAAGCTGGGAATTTATTTTCTACTGACTAGTGTAACAGAATGGGTGCTTTGTGTAGTGTTCTAATATCAAAATAGCAATCATAGCCTCAAAATTCTGGCATCCATACATTGGGGTTTTGTATCTTCTATGTCAGCTGGGACAAAATCTGGGTGTGCTCATGTCTCAGGATGCTTGTCTTTACTGGTGTGAAAGTGTCTAGAAGTGTGTCCAAATCACAGTGATTCCCAATCCAGGAACAGCTGGTAACTTGCCTCTGATAGCGGTTGAGAAGCAGTGAATACACTTTTATCATTTTGATTTCTAAAAATGCCCAGGTCTTTATTTCCTTTTAAAAAATTTTAATTTTTATGGGTGCATCATGGGGCACATGTGATGTCTTGTTACAGGCATACAATGTGTAATAATCACATAGGGTAATTGGGATATCTGTCAACTCAAGTATTTGTCATTTCTTTGTGTTAGAAACATTCCAATTTTACTCTTTTTGTTATTTTAAAATATACAATAAATTATTGTTAACTTTGTAGTTACCCTGTTGGGCTATCAAATTCTAGATCTTTCTCCTTCTATCTAACTATATTTTTATACCCATTAATCATCCCCACCTTTTCTCTCCTCCCTGCTACCCTTCCTAACCTCTGGTAACCATCCTTCTACTCCCTGTCTTCATAAGTTCAATTGTTTTAATTTTTAGCTCCAACATATGAATGAGAACATGTGAAATTTGTCATTCTGTGCCCAGCTTATTCCCCTTAACATAGTGTCCTCCAGTTTTATCCATATTGTTGCAAATGACAGGATCTCATTCTTTTTTATGGCTGAATAATACTCCACTGTGTACATGTACCACATTTTCTTTATCCATTAATCTGTTGATGTACACTTAGGTTGATTCCAAATCTTGGCTATTGCGGGTAGTGCCGTAATAAACATGGGAGTGCAGGTATCTCTTCCATAAAATGATTTCTTTTCTTTTGGATATATACCTAGCAGTAGGATTGTCGGATCATATGGTAACTCTATTTTTAGTTTTTAGGAACTGCCATACTGTTCTCTATAGAGGCTGCACTAATTTACATTCCAATCAGCTATGTGAGGGTTTCCCTTTCTCCACATCTTCATCAGCATCTGTTATTGCCTTTCTTTTGGATAAAAGCCATTTTAACTGGGGTGGGATGATATCTTATTGTAGCTTTGATTGACATTTCTCTGACGATTAATGATGTAAAGCATTTTTTAAAATATGCCTGTTTGTCGTTTGTATGTCTTCTTTTGAGAAATTTTTATTCAGATCTTTTGCCCATTTTAAAATCAGATTATTAGATTTTTGGGGGTTTATTGAGTTCCTTTATCTCCTTATACATTCTGGTTATTAATCTCTTGTGAAAAAAATGCCTAGGTTGGTGGGGTATAGTGGCTCATACCTGTAATCCCAGCACTTTGGGAGGCCGAGGCAGGTGGATCACCTTAGGTCAGGAGTTCAAGACTGGCCTGGCCAACATGGTGAAACCCCTTCTCTACAAAAATAAAAAAAATTAGCCAGGCATGATGGCAGGTACTTGTAATCCCAGCTGCTAGGGAAGCTGAGGCGGGAGAAATGCTTGAACCCGGGAGGTGGAGGTTGCAGTGAGCCGAGATCGTGTCATTGCACTCTAGCCTGGGCAACNAAAGCAAGACTGTCTCAAAAAAAAAAAAAAAAAATCCCAGGTTTTTAATTTCGAAGCATTAGTCATGTTGTTCAAGTAGGATGGGGGTTCTCAATATTTTGAGTGGCAACCTCCTAGAATTATTTGTTTTATTACATTGTACCCTTCTTCTTAGGTGGTAAAGGCCCCATGGCATACATTTATTTTAATTTTTCAGTTTTTACTTTAATATCTAGATATTAGTAAAAAAAAATAAGACACATATTCGGATGTGGGAAATGTATGAGTTAGGAATTACTATTTTCGGAATTCATAAATTTGCAAATGTAGTCTTTAAGATTTAATGTAACTTTCAATATGTTTCTTCAGTGACTGGTAAATGCACAGCATGGTAGAGTGCTGCAGGTACAGCAAAGGAAGCTGACTCAGTCTTAGCCCTGAAAGAATGGACCTGAAAGAATTAGCCCTGAAAGAATGTCTTCCTTGTTTGGAAGACAGCATGGCACAATCAGGGAGAGCTAATTATATGTGCAGGTAGAATTGGGTCATATTCCAATGAGAGGATCTGGAGTGATGTTAGTTGAGGATTCTTGCTTGGGGCGAACTTGTTCCCAAAGGAAATAATAGACATGGACTGTTAGAGAAATAAAAGGGCAATCCTGTGTAAGTTGCTAAGAAGGCACATCAGAGAGGTAGAATGTCCAAATCATACATAGACAATATTAAAACTGAGGTCCAGCCCAAGGAAGGAATTGCCAAAGGAATGATTGAGCGACAGATCTCTTTTCTTTAAGCTTTTGAATGACGGGTTTGCATTTGATCTAGTTTGTAATAGGAATGAAGTTTAAGGAAGTTTATCTTGGTAGCTACCTAGA